ATTAATCATGTGGTGCTATTTTGGAAATGATTTGTTCAGCTTCAGTTGCGCAGGTATGTAAGTAATGTTTAACAGCGAGAGGTGCTTTCTGGCGCAGGTACTTTTATAGCTTGCCTTATCTGTTGTGGAAAACCCCGTTTCCCACATTGCTGCGGTATGGTTCATCTTGGGTGGCGAAAAATCTTTTGTTTTTTTTCCCGCGTTATGTGGTTACCTATCATGGATTTGATGACAAAAATCTTTTCTTCTGCAGTTTAACTTTGTTTGTGGTGGTAGAGTTGTGCTGGAACGTGTATCCTTCCAATGTTTATTCATCTCTGTTGCTTTTGGTAGTCCACTTAGTTGTGTTAGGGGGGCTCTGGACTGCTTCACCTGGAAATCCATATGCTGATGATCCAAATAGTAGATTGACAACCAAAAAGAAACAACCATGAGGCTCGGGGGGCTTTTTCTGCTTGTTCGGAATTTTGTAATCTTGGATGATACTCCTCCATAGAACAACAAATGGAAGAGAAGTCTTCGTTTTTTGGGACTCCATGAACGAGTTGATTTGCGTTAATGGTAATAGCTTTTTTTTTTTGGGGTAAAAAACAAAAAATCCCCTTGTAATAAAACCTAGGGCCGGTTTGGCACCCTAGTTTTTTACCAAATTTTTTAGCTACTAGTTTTTTAACAACTTTTGCTACAGGAACTCCAAAAAATTTCCCAAAATTTTTTATTTACACATTTCGAAAATCTATACACAAAAAATTTCCCAAAAACTTTTCTTCCTCCCTCACCCAACCCACCACACCAGCCACCATCTCTCTCAGCGCCAGTTACCTATTCCGGTGCCGGTAACCTCAAAAAAAATTTTTGAGTCCCTCACCCTCACCCCCTCTCCTCCCCTCGCCTTTTCCCCTCTCCCTCCCCCTCTTGCTAGGTGCGATATGGTCGCGTGATCTGCAAAGGGGGAGGGGGAGGGGGCTGCGATCTGGTCGTGGTTTGGTCCCAAATCGCAGAGCTGAGAGGGGGAGGGTGGTAGAGGAGGGAGAGGGGAAGGGGGGGAGAGAGGGAGAGAAAAAGCAAAAAAAAAAAAAAATGCACAGCTGCTGGCCTTCCTCGGGCGTCGGAGTGTGAGAGAGAAGGGAGAAGAGAGGGAGAGGGAAGAGGGGAAGAAAGGGAGAGAGGGGGTGGTGGGGGAGGGAGAGAGAGGGGTGGCGGGCTGAGGGGAGAGGAAAGGAATGGTGGAAATGTTTGGGGGTAGCGGGGAGAGGGGAGGAAAGGGGGGGGGGGGGAGAGGAGAAAAGCCAAAAAAAAAGAAAAAAAAGAAGAACAGAGGTGGTACTGGCAGAGGTGGGAGGCAGAGGAGAGGTAACGGAGAAGGGGGAGGGGGAAGGAAGAAGAAGAAGAAGAGGAGAGGAAAGAAAAGAAAAAGGAAAGAAAGAAAAAGAAAAAGAAAGAGAAAGAAAAAAAGAAAAAAAAAATTTTCACCTTACAAAAATTTTTATAAAATTTTTCACATTCCAAAAACTTCTACAAACAAAAAATTCTACAAAATTTTTTCAAAAACTTCTACAGTGCATTATAGTAAAACTTTGGACAAACTCTAAAAAAACTCAGATTTCAAATAGGCCCCTAATGTACAGAAAAGTCTCTCATAATGACATCTCACGCTTTAAATTAAATTGTAAAGGAAACGGAATCAGTTAACATTAACAGAAATGATTTATTGAAATATAATAAATATTTTTTTACTCGACCTGTGCTTGGGAAACAAAGAAATTAGTAATGGCGTAAATTTCGGGCCAATGCACTGCCGTATTTAAGTGTTAACAAGGGAAAACTCATGTGCCCAGGAACTCTCAAAAAGAGGAGCTACTATGAGAAGAAAAGCCAGATGGTGCCGGCAAATATAATAGCTATCAACTGGTGAGCTCTTTCGGTTTGCTTTTCTGGCAAATCAGCAATTGGCGTAGTCGCATTTTTATTAAAAAAATTTTTTTCTGAAAGAAAGAGAAGAATCTTATGGAGAAACATAATTGAAACAAAGACCCTACCTTGCGCTTGCAGGAATATTGAAGGAGGACCGATTGTTAATCACTAGTACTATATCATACATACTCTAGCAAACATTAAACAACACAGTGAGTAAGAGCATTCAATATTTCATTCACACACACGTAAAAAAAGCAGCGGTAACTACTACAACGAGCAATGGTGCTGCTCCGCACTTAAAATACGGAAGAGAGATAGAGAAGCGAAGAAAAAAAGAAGAGGCTTTTTAACTCCGGCAACGAGTAATGGCGCTGCAACCGCGGGTGTAGGGGTTTGCTTCACCACCAGGCTGGCAGTTGTAGTAGGAAGAACCCCGGCGAGAGCATGGAACGGTGTTCCTCTGCAGAGCACCGTAGCTTATGTAATTGCGGGTCGCTAATATGCGCCGGTTGATCTCCGAATCCATGCTGAGTTCGCCGCTGCCCAAGCACTCTGCTATTGAACCGCGGCAGCTGGCTGCTGCTTTCATCGGCATCCAAGTATTCAACTCTTGGTGGTCCAAGCTGGCGGCATGCGCTGAGATCGGCCGACCTGAAACGATGATACATACTATGCAACTGTACAAGAGCAGGTGATCGGACGGAGAGTTTTTCGCCATCAAACTGCTAAACAGGTAAAAGTTGGCAGGGTTACTTCTTCTTCTTCCGACGGGCCCTCCTTTTTTTTGAACTCCGAAGCGAAAGAATGCCAAGGCAGCGCTATTTATAATAATTATATATATGCCTTTCGAATTTGAGTAGTGAGACAGCGAGAGCTGCAGTTGTTTCCAAATAATTAAAATAAAATAATTAAAAAATTAATTAGAACCAATTAAGGCATACATACACACACTTTGGCTTCAAGGCCTTTCAATATTGGAGAATAAGAAAATATATGAAACCAGTAAACGTTTCATGTTTAAGAAGTTTGTACCCTTTAATTCTCAACGTCCAATTGTCAAATAATAATAATGCTTATGCTATCGGAGAGTTTCTTTCGTTTAAATCACAAATTAATTACCAAGCAAGTGACCCATCCAGGCATACACAACAGACAAAATCTTCATTTTAGCTCAATGCCCTTCATATAACAATATGTTTGCCCCTCACCATCTACTAGTGTAGTGTAGTAGTAGTAGTATTCTTGTTTCCATGCAACTGACTTGACAGTTGACGAGAATCAAATAAATTCTTCCTTTTTTTTTTTTTTTTCTTGATGCAGGGGTGTCCCGGCCGAATTCTTACGGCCCGAGAAAAAAGACCCAATCCCTTCTAACACAATAGTCGCAAGACTCAAACTGTGATCGCCATATTTAAAGAGGGGGCAACGAAACCACTCGAGCTAGCCTGAGTGGGCAATTCTCCCTTTCTCTCATTTGTTGTCCTTTTGCCTGAAGCTGGAAAATGGGCTGCTAGCACCTTTCCTTTTTTTTTTTTTTTCTTTCTTTCTTTGAAACAACCAGAATAGATACAACATATGATGGAAGGCGCTTTCATTGTAGGAAAATGGATTGGAGGAAAAGAAAAACAGAAATTAAGGCCAAAATTAAACATGCACCCATTCATTTTCCTAAACATTAATTAGAGAGAGAGTGGTCTTTGATTTTTTTTTTTTTTTTTTAAAGATTTTCATAAGATGTTGAATTACGGGTACATTGGTAAGATATCACAACGCAAAAGGCAAGACTGGGTTTGCACAACAACCTTCACCTGTTTAGTTGTCCTAATCTAACACCCAAATTATTCAAAATTATTTTTACCAGACCTAACCCCCAAAAAACAAGAAAGTACGAGTATCCTTCAAGCGCGTCTTCATTGCTGTCGCGAACAATGAGCCTTGATCTTGTCAAGACCTACCATGGAAAATGATGTCTACTGCTAAAAAATTACCGCTTCTACTGCTGAACAGTCTCACTAATTAGCTAGGATTGCTTGATACAAACCGGACGGGACATCATCCCTTTGTGTTCGGAGTAATTAATTGGGAACGAAAACAAAAACAAAAAAAGAAGAAGAGAGACACCCTGGAAGAAAATTTCAACGTGATTTTTAGGTACTTATGCATTTGGTCAAATCCCGTGCGGATATTTAGCTAGAAAATTTGCAAGCACTATCAGGGTCACGTCCACTAGATGATCTATGCATTCCATCGGTCAAACAATAATTTTCACCTACTACTCGACTCGTACGTACCAACGAAGCTGCCACCACACCAGTCCTTTTTTTTTTTTTTTTTTGGAACGATAGGATTCCTGTGACCTAAACTAATCTATTCTAAAAGGGAAGAGGAGGGGACTCGATGTGAGTAGAAACTCCATCAAAAATTAATTATTAATGAAGACCGTCACATATTATGATAAATTTTTGATCTCCCGAATCATCAAGTTCCGCCTCATCAAGTCTAAAAAGGCTTGGAATGACCACACCAGTCCTTCTCCACTGTTTCGATTCTTGAAATTGAGTTTGACTTGGGTCAAACTTCTCTTTCAAGATGTAAAATCACATTAATTGAGAAAGCAAAATGAAAACCACAAGATTGTCCTTTGTTCGTTGGTTCTTCAGTCTCTCCATGGTCCTTTCCTACCTCGGCTGCAGTAACCTGTATATATATATGTGTGTGTGTGTGTGTGTTATTTTCTTGGTTCTTCCAATTCTCACAGGTTTTCTCGATGAAGGTTGGTGTTTGAGTTGGGCTGAACTTTTTTACACCAGAAATGACCAGTCTGAACAGGCATTATTGCCTCTCCATCCAGCTGCGCATGGTTCTGCCCCTCCCCGACCTTTCTCAACCACTCTGATTTGTTTTATGAAATCGCAATGCTACGGGCATTGTGATGGAGATTTCCTTCGATTCACTAAGGAATCTAAAATCCCAGTTTCCAGCAATACCTTTCGATATCTTCTACCAAAGCCAATTCAAATCCATTTATCTTTCTTCTTTTCCCAGATGATCGTGACTGAGCATCAAGATCCGAAAAGAAAATATATGCATTCACAAACACATGCCTCGCAGCTTTTAAGCAAATAATCAGAATGCCATCAATTTACAAAAAAAAATTACATCCACGAAAAGACAAATTACGACATTTGAACAAGAATAGAAGCATTTCATCTTAAGAGTAGAACCCTCAGAAACAAAGATTACATAAAATGCCACAAGGGGAAACTTTGCAAGACAACAACAGCAACAGCAATACCCTTCTATGTAAACAACTTGTAAATAAAAGAGCCAACTTCTATATCTTACAAGTGTCGTCCACTCTGCATCAACCGTCGAAGCAATTAATGTCATCTTTCTAGCTTGCTTAACAATGCATCCATTTCTGGCAACTCCTTCACAATTTGTTGCCAGTCAGGCATACCCTGAAAATGAAAGATCATTTCTAATACATTCACGTAAAACTAGGGGGGAGGGGTTTAGAAACTGGATTTTCCTCAATAATAGCCACCAGAGGATACACTTGGTTATCAGATCATCCAAAGGTGACATGCAAAAGATGACATAAAAAATACCAACCATCCATAGAATATTACAACTGCTATAATGGATTTTCATATTATGTAGCATTTCAATGTGACCAAGCAAGCCAAATGAGTGCACATAACTTTCAAATGGAACATTACCTAGAGCGTGCTTTCCACTACACACCTAGTATTGGCATTCAATGGGCAAGTAAACATTTAGGAGGAGAAAAAAAGTGTCTTCCTTCTTTCGGTTGCATGTGGGTGTTTTATTTTTGGTTGGGGGAGGGGGGGGGGAAGCATTACCACTGAACTGACCATCCATTCCATGTTAAATTGTGCGATTCCACACCCCCCCCCCCCCAACAACACCAACAAAAAAAAAAAAAACAAAACAAGAGTGGAAAAAGAACATTACCCAATCTAGTACTATTCCAATTAGAGGTTAAGGGAGAAAAGGGAACCTCATCTAATTAGTGATCCAGGGAGCAAAAAGAGAGAGAAAATTAAGAACTTAACAAGAAGAAAATGATGAGAAAAGTAATTTTCTGGCAATGAGTAATTACCCTTCCTGATCTGCGGACACGGCCATCTAGACGCAGTATAATGTAGACATCTTCACCAGGAGTAACACCTTCTGACTTCTGTTGATCCTTAATCCACCTGAACAAAAGGAAAACAAAAAGCAAACAGAAATGACTATTTGAAAGTAACAGTAACCTAAGAAACCTGCATACCTCTTTACAATATTATTTATCTATTAAAATGAAAGAAAAGGTGAGGTTCTTTATCCATGTAAAGATGGGCCATGGCCTTAGAGAGAGAGAGAAAAGATGAGCTATGTAAAAGACAGAGTTCTTCGAAGATGGAAGCTAAGCATGTTGGAAGAACAAAATGACCTTTCCCACTCCACGGGTGATAGTGGCTCTGCCTTGAATCTAATCTCTGCCTTCAATTTTGATTTGGTAACTACTGATTGAGCTCGCTTGTCAAAATCTTCCTGCATTGTTCCAAGAAGCATTATCAAGGAAAAAGAAAGCTAATAATACTGAAAACTTACTCATAATCAACTTGGTGATGTAAGTCTTCACTGAAACCAACTCCAACCAAGTGTTGATTTAAATATTTAGTACCCCAACTGGCTTATGCTACTCTACGAAGGGTAACATGAACTCCAAAGAGCCAAACATCATGAGATAAAGGTATATGCACAGTGGTAGAACAAGGATTTTAGACCTGGGGATGGTAAGCTGTAGAAGTTTAAAATATGTAGGGATAAAGCACTGGGAGGGCTGAGGGTGGAGAGGGGTAGTTGTTTGGTCCATCAGGCATGGATAGACAGGGAGGGGATGGGACACAAAGGTCGACAAAAAATACACAAAGTAGAACACTCTCAGTAGGGGAAAAAAGTGTCAATATCAACAAAAACATTTTTACGAACCCCTAATGATGGAAGAGAAGCGGCAGCTTTTGGAGAAAGACCGAAGCCTTTCTTTTCCGCTGGTTTGTCACTATTCTGACCCCAAATAACAGGAACCAGAAGAACACCTCTCCTAAGGAGCTCAGTCCGGCATCTTTCAGCTTTCTGGAGTGCTAAGGAGACTGTTTCCTTGTTCCCAGCCAAAATAACCTACAAGTGGACTATGCTTCCTATTAGGAACATTAGATGGGATACTGTGACCCTATCAAGAGCAATATTCGGGAGAATTTAGTTAGATTTTTATTTAACTGACTTACAGGCCTGACAGTGTCTCGTAACTGAACGAGTTCAACAACCCTGTTAGTTGAAAGGCGCAAAGGTAGCCTTGAGAGGGTTTCATCACGAGATATTTGTGCAAGCTGTTCCTCCTCTTTCTTATTGTCCCAGAGAAACAAAGCCACAAGAACAATGATACCTGTAAGTTGCTGATACAAAAGCTGAATCATTTATGAAGCACATTTTTATTCTCAAAAGATTAAATAATCACACCAAATGCACACATCACCAAGAAAACCAAGATTTTGGCTTACCGCCAATATTTATTGCAGCATTTCCTGCAGTCTCCCAAATATCAGGAGCTCCATCACCACCTTTAATTGATCGGTATAGTCTGGGTATTGTAAAAAACATTGATATTCCAGCAGCAGCAGTAAGCGCCACATAAAAGAATCTCCGAACACCACGGAAAGGTGCTTGGACCTCACTGATAAGTTTAAGGTCTCTCCGAAAACTGTACCCTATATCTTCCCCGCCTAGCCTAGCCTGCATAATTAAACCACAACATGCAACTTTGAATTACATCTCATAACTTGAAGAAACTTAATAAATGCTGATAACTAACATAGTACAAACTTTAAGATCCACATCAACACCCAGAATAGACAAATAACACTCAGGATGAGAAACAAACCTCTTCTTGCAACTCTTTAAATTCAGGCAATGCTCTGAAAGAGGCCAAGTCTGGGTCATTCAGAATTGTGCCAAACTTGAGGTCATATTCCTTCAAAGCGGTACGCAAGCAGTCAGCAGCTTTCTTTCCTTCCCCTCTTGCATAGAAAAGTAAACAGCATTATCAGATTCCTCAATCTAGATTCACAATGTTAAAAGCCACCACGAGGATGTATAGTCATTGTCTCAAAGGGAAATGCAAAATAAATAGCAAATACAACAAAAAAGGGTTGAACTAGGTAAACAAATTACAGCATGAGAACATCATGCAGTGGAACCCCCAAAGATCAAATATTTCAAGGACGATATGTTAGGTAGAATGCAAACTAAAAGACAAGCCATTATGTCGAAGTCCAAATTAGAAATAGGCTTGATGGCGTCCTAAGCTCTTTCTTTGTAAGACGTAAGCATCATCTAAAACTAAAGATGGGACATGAATAGAAAAGGAAAATTTCTGAAATTTCGTACCTGTAAGCATGACAGCAGGCTTTGTTATAAAACGCAGCTTGAGCCTCAATTGGATTAGGATCCAGAGTAAGGGCAGTTTCAAACTGCGACAGAGCATCTTTAACCTAATGATAAACGATTGCCAATCCAATAAGAATACAAACTTCACACAATGTTGACGCTATTATTGTTCCGGGTTTTACGAACTGGGATTTTAGTATCTTCAACTAGAATGTGGGGGAGATATGATCCCAGCAAGACATTTTTTTCCAGCTAATATGATGACCACATGAATGCAATTATCGCAATAACCAATCAAAATCTTGAGACACTGACTGTTGGTTCTCAGCGATTAGTGGATGCTGATTTCCCCCATAAACAAGGCAAGTGGGAGTGGGACGTGTTCTTCCTTCCATTGCATTTACATATATAGGGGTAGGGTAGCTCATAGTCTGAAGTCTGGACGCCAGTATTAAAAAATGTAAGAGAACTTATCAGCTAGTACAAGAAATTACCTTTAGTAGTACAACCAGAGAACAAAGGACATGCATAATTACTGCAAGATACAAGGGCGTACTACTGCTACTACCAGTGCTAAAATTAGCAATAATCCGAGAAAGAAAGACAGAAAAGAATACAGATAAATACCCGTCCTTTGGAGAAGAGGGAGAGTCCCAAGTTGATGCAAGACTCAGCAGTGGGTGGTGTAGTCACTTCCGGCGATGAAGAAGAAGAAGAAGACGACGACGGAGAAGAGAGGCATACGAGTGAAGAAGAAGAGTGAGCTGTGTCTGTAGACTCAGATAAAGTCCGAGTCCAAAAGGGCCTTCTTGCTGAGTTGGGGAGGGGAATCCATGTCCGTACCCTTGTTACTGACGAGGATGATGATGCAGGAGAAACGGGACAATGACGATGGAGGGCAAGACTTGCCACCACAGCCATAAAAGACGACCACTCCCAGCTCGAAGTTATGTGTTTATCCATACACCAGTTCGGTTTTTGTTGGAACTCCTCATCGCACGACGTCGTTTGGCTGCCTATCTTTGCACAACGATGTCGTAGTGGTTGTCTGTCAGTAAAACGTTTCGTTTCATTGTCCCCCCAGCAGTATTTTGCACAATGCCCCTTGGCCTGACTGCCGGCCAAGCATTTCCTCAGCATGGGAAAAAAAGAAAAAAGGGGGCCATTTTGTTCCTGAAATTTTTAACAGCCCAGCTTAATAGTGGCCTCTTTTTGTTCAAGAAATTTTTAACAGTAAAAACTAAAGTTTATTTTAATAATTATTTTCATCAGCATTTTATAAATGGCCTTGAGTGTTTGGATAGCACAAATATCTCAAATAATATTTTGCTTGCATCATAAACACATTTTTCAAGTTACCTTTTTATATTCTCAATTACTTTTTTATCTCACATATATCATACCACAAAAAATACTACAGTAATTATTTCAAATAATACTCTATCCAAACCTCTCCTCTGGGTTAGTTATGGATTATTATATAAGTGAATATGCAAGGAGAACGTTTGAGAGTAACACAACGGAAAGGATCATCTGCCTCATTTTTCATACCTTTTTCTATTTTACTTTTTATTATATTATCATATTTTTCTACATAAATATTTCATTTTATTTCCTTTTTGATTCCTTAAATTACAATAACTAACGACAAGCTAATGAACAAAACCGGTTTTCGTCCCCAAACTTTGGACACAAGACACATTTCGTCCCTCATCTTTCGGGCATGACACATCTGGTGTCTGAATTAAGAATTTTAGACCAAATGTTATCCTCAAACGGCAATTTATCCACCATTTAACGAAACCGGTCACGTGAGATTCACGTACCGTTAAAGCTTCTGTCCGAAAGAACCCAGGTGGAAAAGGACGTTGTCTCCACTTTCCTTGTCCAAAACCGAATCTGAGCTCACTCTCTCTCTACAAGTTCACTTTCCCCTTTCCCTTGCCTTTCACTTTCCCTTTTCCTTTCACTTCAACGACTTTCTCTGCAAATTTCCAAGCCTAAGCTCAAGCTCCATCTGAAAATTCTGCCGAGAGCAAATCCCCTCTTCCAAATCAAATTCTGCCAAGAAATAAAGTAGAAACTTGCATAAAGCAACACCCAGCATTGTGGCTGTATTTCCCTAAAATGAGATCTAGAAATCTTGAGTCGTCATCGTCATCGTCATTAAACAGCATTGTTAAGGTTTTATAAATGACTGTTTTAGTTCTTGGATTACACCTTACCTCCAAAATTTGGGAATTTACCCAAATTTTCCATTTTCTAATATTCCTACAAATATGCAAAATTATGCATATTCCTCAAATCTACCCAATATTAATGTTTTGTTAAACTCTAAATAACAAAAATATGAAATATAATATTTAAATATATTTTAATACACACAAGTTGGACGGGTAACTAGTGTGTCAGAGAGTTGCCATAATCTCCTTAAACCCGCATGCGGGTTTAAAGAGTATTCGGATATTCTCATATGCACCTATGCAAATCGAACCAATCGGATATCTTATCCGTATCCCATTTTTTTAAATAAAAATCTTATAAATTTGAAAAATAAAATCAAATTTAGATGTATTAGGGTTTTAAAAATATTATATAAGTGATAAAAATTTTATAAATTGTAAAAATAAAATCAAATTTAAATAATTAAATGTTATATTTGTATAAGAAATAATACAATAATCATAATAATGATAATACAATAATATTGATGTAATAAAACTGCCATTAATTTAAATATTTACTTATAATGCCCAAAGAGCCTAATTACCAATTTTTTCTTCTCGCGCTCAAATATAACATTAACCCGCATGCGAGCTAACCTTGAAATAGAAAAAACACAGAATCCCGCTTGCGGGTTTCAGGAGTATTCGGATATTCTCATATGCACCTATGCAAATCGAACCAACCGGATATCTTATCCGTATCCCATTTTTTTAAATAAAAATCTTATAAATTTGAAAAATAAAATCAAATTTAGATGTATTAGGGTTTTAAAAATATTATATAAGTGATAAAAATTTTATAAATTGTAAAAATAAAATCAAATTTAAATAATTAAATGTTATATTTGCCTAAGAAATAATACAATAATCATAATAATGATAATACAATAAATATTGGTGTAATATGTGAAGGACCACATCTACATGGCTTGCCATTAAAAGGTCAACATTTTCATTATTAATACTTTAATCAACAAATTATTAAACCCTGAACAACTTACCATAATTTGGTGGGGCACAATCGTTCAACTCCTTCTTTCGCACCGACATATTTTTTCGCTCTGCTACTTAGTGGATGCCAGCAGGTCAGCTTCTTCTTCTTCGATCTTCAATAATTTTTTGGAATGCGCTTTTGAAAGTGTAAAAATTGAAAGGCAAAGGAAAGGGGAAAAGGGTTTTTACACAAATATAAGCGAGCTTGTAGAGAGAGAGAGTTCAGATTTGGAAAGGACAAGGTAAAGTGGAGACAACGTCCTTTTCCACCTGGGTTCTTTCGGACAGGAGCTTTAACGGTACGTGAATCTCACGTGACCGGTTTCGTTAAATGGTGGATAAATTGCCGTTTGAGGATAACATTTGGTCTAAAATTCTTAATTCAGACACCAGATGTGTCATGCCCGAAAGATGAGGGACGAAATGTGTCTTGTGTCCAAAGTTTGGGGACGAAAACCGGTATTTTTCCAATAAACAAAATACGGGAGCCTACAAAAAAGAATACAAGCACATGGCCCATAATTCTGAATCTCAGGCCATAGTATGACGGGTCCTCTAGCTAAATGACTTTGGTCCATGTCACGGCCCAAACAACAAATGGAAAAAGGGCGCGTAATCTCACACCGTTGGTCTCAGAAAATAAACAAAAAAAAAAAAAAAAGGAAGCACGAATAAATAGACGGTATCAATCAATTGACGAGAAAAACAACAGTCCTTCTTGGTTCTTACTTCTTAGCTGCTCCAATTATAGGATTGTTTGGGGTTGGTCTGTGGACCCGTTCAATACTGCATCTCTGCAATGTTATAGTGTACTACTAACAGAAAACTGCAGCAACTTTTTTGCCTTGCGCACAAGACTAGGCCTGTCAACGGGTCGGGTCTAGACCCGGATCCGGACCGGATCCGTGAAATTATTGCGAGTATGGGTAGGGATTTAATTCCGTTTCCCGGATCCGGATCCGGATCCGGATCCGTTTTGTCAAACAAAAAAACGGGTCGGATACGGAATATAGTATTCCGGCCCGTATTAGACCCGGATCCGGATATAAATGAATTAATAATTTAAAAAATATATATTTATCAATATAATTTGATTAGGGTGATGTATTTTAATAAAGTTAATTTGATTTCTTTTCTTATTTGATTTTTTCTTTGCATTAGTTAGAAATTAGTTTACAAATATATTTTTTTCTCATTTTTATTAGAAATTATAAAATTTGGTAAATTTGTTCGGATAGACCCGGATCCGGATCCGGGACCGCCGGATCCGGATCCGGAACGTAGAATAAAAGACCCGTCGGGTAAACGGGTCGGGTCCGAATCCGGCATAGTAATTCGGGTCCGGGTCCAGAATAATGAATTCCGGCCCGTTGACAGCCCTACACAAGACACACTGGATTCATTTATCCAAAGGGTCTCATTTCATGGTCTTCGGGGCATTCCAATTTACAAAATTAGAGCTTTGCCAATGAACAATAGTAGCGATTCAGGGAAATTCTGATTATGTACTTTTATTTATTTATTTTTTCTTTTTAAGCAATATGCAATTTAAGAAGTAGGGAGTGCGAAAGAACGATTCAAATTTAGAACCTCTAACTTTTAAAAATTCAAATTTCACCCATAAGATTAATATCTCTTCAGCAAGATTATGCAATTGAAAACTCGACGAGAAAGAAAACCAAGGATATGATAGCTTCTTTTTTTTTGTCTTCCTTGCACCGAAATACTGATGGACTTAAAACTTCTTTTAAGATGCACCATGGCTTGATTAAGGAAAAGTTGCCCAAAGACCGACTCATGATCAACATATGTACTCTCCCGTCCCACGTCGAAAGATCGTGGGGCATTAGTCTCTAGGATTAAGATCTACAGGCGGTCGGTTCAGTTACTAATTGGCTGAATCCGGTTGCTTTGTGGGTCCTCCTTAGATTATCCGTTTGGACCGTTCTTTTATGTTTTTCTGAATGTTTAATCTATGTGTGCGTGAGTTATTGATCATTTGTGAGAAAAAAAAAAAGATCAACATAAGTGGAGCAGAAGATACATCACGCATGCATGCATGGTTAGTGTGTGGCCTCAGTTACTTCACACTTTGGAGAGATGGAAATTAATGGAATTAAGGAGCAATTAAGAAGAAAGGCGCTCGCTTCTCAAGTTTAAAACGGCTTGGCATAATTTTCCTGCGCCATTCCCAAATTTCTCGTCCTCGATACCATTCCCAAATGCCGCCTCTTTGATCATTTGGGGCAGATGCATGGGACGAAGAGATGCATGCATGGTCTCTGTTTTCTTTTGAAATCAAACTTTTTGAGCAATTATAGAGATGCATGGTCTCTGTTTGCGATCAAATAACATAAATTGTGCCAATAATATCAAGGTTTGATGTTCCATTCTGTGCTCTGGCTTTTGCCCTTCACTGTACGAAGAGAAGAACAGGAATATCTTGCAACCTTTACCCTGATGGAAAGTGCTTACATTAAAAATGGAGAAGTCGCACGCCCACAAAATTGCAGAAACAGGCGGACAGATTAGCTCTACGCTGAACGTATGTATTCAGTGAAACTGGGGATGGATCTCGCTTTCAAGTGTATGATGGATGCTTCATCATCACACATGAAACGTTGTACGGCGGGAATACGTCCAAGGAGGCAAACGGTAATGGCGGACAGCATCATTGGGGTGACGGCATGCGAGGTACTTGAGTACGGTCCAGTCAACATGAGCCAAGCGTCTCCAAAGTTGG